CCCAGCTCCTGATCGGGTTGACAGCCTGGCCTGCTCCAGCCAACTCTCATGTCTCCTGCAGTGACGGCCTCGAACTCAAAATACCACCTTCCTGCCCTCACAGCATAGGTCTTCTCAGCCCGGAAGATGCGGAATCTCTCCCCGGTTCCGCTGCACATGTCCGCTCGCGCAGCTGTGGATTGAAGGAGACTCTGGTGATCATCGGACTGGGTATGGAAGGTGGGCGGTGGATACCACATATCTTTAGTAATTAAACCTCCAGTGATGATGCTCATGATACTTTCTATTCTCATCTTGGTTCACATTTTACAAAGTGTTTTCGTCTAGAATTGATCAGCCACTGTCAGAAGGCGCCTGCAGAGTAGAGAGAGCACAGGGCCTCCGCGGGAGAGGCCCGTCGTGAAGCTTCAATGATGCGGGGAGTGTGGGTGAGGCTGTCACATTAGCCCCTTTTCAAGAGCAATTATCTTTCTGTAGATAAAAAACCTAGCAGCCCCTTGGCGGTTTGGTAGCGGCAGATGAGACGAAAGTGAGGGCACATATTGAAAGAAAAGAGTATAAGAGATTTAAACTGCTCTGCATGAGAAATGAATGGACATCTGTGGGTTAACGAGAAGAGGGGAAAAGCAGCCAGGAAGTGAAGGGGGAAGGAAAAGCTATAAATGGCAGAGAACGGTAACCATCCACCAATTCCTGAGACGGGTGGCTGAGGGCAAACTTCCCCACTATCCACATCATCACTGTAATGTGCTACACACACAAATGTTAGGTTTAAGAGATTTGGGGGAAAATTAAAAGGGTCGAATCTAATATTGGTATCAGTGTGGTGCAAAGGGAAAAGAAAATATCTGTAGGAAATCAGACACACATGAACGGAGAGTGCCGGGGATGTGAAACCACAGACCACAGACCCTGGGGCCAGGGTGACCATGAGAATGGAAGCCCTCCGAAGGCACAGTTCATGGGGACAGGGTCCACTGAACTGACACCTCAAAGGACGCGGTTGGTCAGCTAGGATCTCGGTTAGATACAGAGAAGGAATCAATCAAACTGAAGCAATCTGACCAAAGTCACGCAATCATCAATGGCAGAATTCGGGGGTGGCCTAGGGCTGAGTTCTCTGCTCTCTGCCTCTGTAGCTGGCACAGTGTGTAGCTACTGGTTAAATATTAGTGCTCCCCTGTTCTCCTTTTAAGAGTTGGGAAAGACCTTATAAATAATAAAAGTTTAATAACAGCTGTTAACATCACCAAAAAGCAATAATTCATCATGCTATTAAATTAGCTCTTACTATGGAGCTAATTAGAACCTCAGTCAATTTTCTTCTCTTACTTTAATCTAATCTTAAATTGTTAAAGAAGATCTAACTGTGTTTCTTGGTGATCTTTAGAACTTATTTAGATTATTTTCATAGCTTGAAGCTGGAAACTATATAAACATTTGGAGATTACTTTTCAGGAAAGAAGAAAGATTTTATGTAGTTACCCTTAATTTTAATCTTTCCAACATTCGCAAATAAGATCATACATTGCATTCTAGTATGCACTAATAGATAAAACACCCGATTTTCTAAGCATGGACACTAAACCAATGAAAAACTCTTATGTTTCCAGGGCACCCAGAGTTCCACGTATAAGCAGTGTGCTCAAGGAAAGGAAACCAACTTTAATATTGGCTTAAGTCAAATATGTTAGAAGGCAAACTTGATATAAACATAGAAAGATGACTTCCTTAAAAGCCCACTGCAAATTTCTCTTGGTATATTAAGATTGGCCACGAATCCTCTCCATGAATATGGATAATAAAAATGGGAGCAGGGCTATATGGAAAATGTGTGGCAATAAGGGGTGACAATGCAGGATTTTTAATCCTCTTATTATTATATTTTCCTGACCTTATACTTCTGCTCCAGTCTTACACTCGCTGATGACACTCAATCTTGAGTGTGAACTTGATATGAACATGCAATTCACAGACACATTAGATCTTCCACCAAATGCCCGTGTGGTTCACGGTCGTATTCTATATTTCTCACATTAGTTTCGGGGATCTTGTAACCATGGTTTAAGAAACAACAGTTCAACATTCTGTTCCTTGATAAAATATTAATACTAAATGAAAAATCGGGATCCACGGAAGTTAAAAATCTGTAACAAATTTCTTTTGAAAACCATGTAGCATCAACCAGCTGGACATAAAGTGGGTGCTCTGTAAACACTTGCCAAATTGAATCAAGGAACAAAGACTCTTGGGAGCCCTGGACACAGGTGCCCAGGCACACAGCTGATGGGCTGCACCACTGTCGCCCAAACGTGCAGTTCTAGGGTCTGCTTGATTTTAAACACTCTACATTCATATGTTTGGTAGGCAATTCTAGCAAGTGTGTGTTACACAGATGATTTTTTATGTTGTTTTACTGAATATCATCATAATGACATTAAAAAATGAAGTCAGCAGATATATTCCTAATGTATTTTATCAAGGCTGTTGGTACTCAAAGAAGAAGAAATTTAGGAATTACGCCTTTAACAAACCACCAAGGTCTGAATAGTACTGGGTTTCCACACACATCCACAACTGATCAAATAGGGCCTAAGGTGTGTCTATGAAGGCTTCACGCCAAACCATTCATTTAAAAACCACTGACCACTAGAGGGCAGCCAAGATATAAGTATGCATTAAAATTACGTTATTTATAATAAGGTATGAAGAAAGGCAGGCTAGTTTTCTTAAATTTCATACGTATCTAGAAACCTTTAGGCATATTTATATAATTAAAAAGTTATTGATATTAGCCAGCCATCCTTTTAACCTCATGGTATGATTTCTAATTAAGCAATTTAAACCTTGATAAAACCTTGAACTGAATAAGAGCAAATT